TCGCTCTTCTCTGAGAACGACAAGTTGGGATTTATCTTCTTGGTTCTTTCGGTAAAGTCACGTAGAAGGGAAATAATAAAGTAATAAAATAAAAAGAAAAAATATATTATATTATTATTTCTCTTCTACGTGACTTTACCGAAAGAACCAAGAAGATGAATCCCTGCAGTCACGAAAGCTTTAAATCGAAATGTTGGGATTTATTAAATTGCACGATAAATGAGAATTTTTGATTTACTGTGTATTACGTAATATCTTATCCAAAGTGGGTAGTTGTGGTAGTTTATTTGTATCATTCATAATGTTGTCACATCACAGCACTGTGAAATAGTGATGACTTAGGAAGGCCTTTATCCAGCAGTGGCTTGATCATGGTTGATGATGACGGTAATTCTAAAGCCTCTGCAGGGATTTGTCAAGGCAGCTGCTTAGTGAATCCATCTGCGTGCAACCGCCCCCCCCCCCTCGTGAACTTATAAAATTACAAATAAATACATCTTGCTGCAGCCAATCTCAATTCACCAATGGATGAAGGCCTGCCCCATATCAGATATCACTTGCACCACTGATGTTAGCCGGGCTCACAGCGCAGTGCGCACATCGCTGAGTCTCGCAGTCCACCCCAGGTGGGGCACATTTGCGTCGATTTTAAAGTGTTCTGAAAAATCTGCGACGTCGACTTGTGGCACGATACGCAAACCAGTGCTGTCAGCCAACGTCAAATCCTGAGCTGTCGCCAGTTCGATAATTATCTAATTACAGACCTGGCGACTCGGCCAATTGTAATTGGCTCGGCAACAGTTTCGGGGGCGTGCGATGTTGACCGAGCGGCGTAATTTGTCACGCGCCGCGAGATTCGAGTCTCTCTCTAGGGCTGCCCCCCCCCGCCCCCCTCGTGTCGTGATGCCGTCCTGGAAACGTGCGCGGAATGCGAGCGCACCACCGGTGGAATTTTGGCTTCCGAAATTGACGCCGCCACGCCGGTGGTGGGTGGTGGGGGGCAAGAAGGAACGTCGAGTTCTCGCAGATCGGCCTAGACCCACCGGTGGCTGAAGGGCTCGTTCGGCGCGCTAGAACTCACACTGAAGGGAAAAAGCGAACTCACCGACGCCACCGACACTGCATAAGCAACTCTGAATGACACCGGCTCGCGCCAAGACACACGCGGGTTGCTGTTGGCTGCTGCGGGGCTACGTTGCGTCCCAGCAGAGAGCAGCGCAGCAGGATCCATTGTTGTACTGTACTATTAGCCCCTAACCCCACACACACATCTATGCTCCCCGCCTATCCAACCCGCATTGGCTGTCGTGGTGGCGCAGTAGGGTATGGGGAGGCCACCATCCAGTCTAGGATCGACGTGTGTTACGTTATTGAAGATTTTGCAGTGAATTCGTAGACGCTGCTGGATATTCCTTTGCCGATTTGCTGTGACGGCGCGTCAATCTCCAACATTGTTTCCCTCCCCTTCCCCCCCCCGGTTGACCTCGGGCTTATCACCCTTCTCACGGTGGCTCGCACAAGGATGGAGAACATTCGAGTTCCGCGCTTCCCGCGACGAGCCGGTCCCATCCGATGGTACAATGACCTCCCGATTTGGGGGCCGTCCCTAATTGCCACATCGTCGATGACTCCCCACGCTAAGCATCGTCCAGAGCTGTTTGGTGGCCATGACGCAAATCCGGTTTGCACGTCCAAAAGACCATTGCCGAAGTGTGGCTCTTTTTTCTAATCGTCGTCGCGATCAGCCGCCATGGTCCATCCACTGCTGGATGAATGCCCCCCCCCGCCCCGCCCCGCACCCCCTCTCCCTGCCAAGGCGCTGCCATCGCCCGCAATCACGTGGTGTTTTGCGACATTCACCCCCGTGAGCTGATCTTCACCACCGCTCCATCGCCCCGTTGGACCTCCTTTGGGGGCGCCACTCCTTTATGGTCCGTCACCATCGTCTGTCGTCTCTGCGAGGCCACGACGTGCCCTGCCCAAGCTCGCTCTTACAGCTTGCGCGTCGTCATTGACCTTCGTTGACGTTCGCTGATCCCTGCGCTTGTCTTTCTGTCTTTCATTGTAATCCCAAACCGGCATCCTGTCTGTGCTGCTCTGGTACGTTTTATGGTTGTGTACTATTTACTCACCGTCAATGAGGATGCTTAAGGGAATGCATTCGCTTGTCTGTTCATGGGGTCGTGCTTTTGAATGTGATAACAAATCGACAGCTAAGGGGCAGAGGATAATTCCACGCTTTCCTGCCCTCACGTTTAGGTGTCAGTCTTAATCCGGCCAGGATTTTTTCCAAAGTCCGAGAGAAATGTGATGCGAATTTGCTCCAAAATGAGAAATTGTTGCGTCATTTCATGGGATAAATTTTGATTCTTGATATCCTGAGTTACCGTTCTGCGTGTCTCCGCCAGCGCTGTTCAAGCACATTGCGCTCGTCTGTCTCATTTGATGAGACAATATCACCGACCGACATTTGAAAGAATGCAATTTTGCTCGGGTTGAAAGGTGGAGAGGTGGCATAGCGCGGCTAATTCCACCGCACTATGATTCCCGGCCACGGCTGACATCAGTGACCAGTGGCATCCGGGACCGCTCCTCCCCCTTCAACAACGAGCACGCACACGCAGACCGGCGCGGTGAAGTATGGTCAAACAACCCAGTGGCTGACACAGCATGGGAGGGGGCCTGCAATGGATTGACCATTACTAATAATGGCCATGACCAAGGTCATTACATTTATAAATCAATGTACCCATTTTGTGGACACTTCCATTACGATAAGACCTCTATGTTCTCAAATGGTAATAGTGTGTCCGTACGATTATTATTTTTTTGGATTACTTTTTTGCTGCGACACTTTGTCCTTGGCGCTGTTGCCAGATTAATATTCTTCTCGCTGTGCCTAGGCTTGCGTTGCATAACATAGCACTTTCACACGCTTATTTGGAAGCAGCTTACATTGCACGTGTCTTTACTTTCATGCTCCGTGCCCATTCCCGTACACGATTTCCACCAGCCTTGAGTGGCGGTGCATCGGGTACGTTACGCCACATCGTACGGGGACGCTGCTGTGATGGAACGAATTCGCTACGCTCGAGTCCCCCGGTTCAACTCCCGTCTCCTGGCACGGCAGTTGAAAAAACTCCCCCCCCTGAACTCTGTCCGCCCAGCGGTGTACAAATGGGTTCACGACCACGGCAGGTCGCGCGTGGCGGGCTAAAGCGTGGATTCTCACACCTCTTCTGAAACGTCAACGTGGCAGAGAAGGCCAATTACTGAACCCTCTCGTGCTCCCTCTAGCAGCGAAGGCGCAGTTGACGCGAGTATTTGCGGGGGCTGCACCTTGTACTAATTTCGCACCGCACAAAGCCAACCGTGCGAATCGGAGGCGCGGTCGGAAGGGCAACAAACGAAACGCAAAAAGCATTTGCAAAGAAATGTGAAACGCACCTTTGTCAAAGCTGCGCACCCTTTTAGCTCAAGCGGCGACGGCGTGCCTGAATGGGTCAGGCGTGAGCGAAACGTGCGCCCATCATGGACTGTGCCACTCAGCGGCAGGCAGGTCCTTTATCACGGAGAATTTAGTGCGTGGGCTAAAATCACCGGCGCTAACGAGCGCTGGTGCAGTGCCTTTGGACTCGCCGTCCAAGTCACTCAACGTCAACGCCTTAATGGTGATCCTTTCTTCGCATGTGTGCGGGGGGGGGGGGGGGGGGCGGTGGGTCTACGGTAAACCTTTAACGGGGGAGGATCTCCTTCAGATGTTGTTATGCCCGGACAGAATTTTCCAAAGAGAGACGTTGGACCGTATTCACTGCGGCAGCGCAGCCTCTGGAGACGGGGCCGCCGCCGCCGACGGTAACTTGGGCACCGGATGCAACGCGGCGGTCGGCGGTTCCCGACGGAGACGGTCGTCGCTCCCGAGCACTTTCCGGAGACCCGAGTTCGATTCCCCGCTCGGGGTCAACGCCACTGGCGATTATCTGAGCCGGTCCCGGGCCCCTCCCCCGAGGTCGACTCAGCCTTAATTAAGCGTCCAGTGCGGTGTGCGAACATCGTCACTGGGGAGACAAAGGCGGCCGGGCGTGGCGTTGGCCACCTACCCCCTCGTGTGCCGTGCCGGGGGATATTTGTCTTTGTAATATTTGGGGGAGGAGGGGTGGCGTAGTGGTTGGCGCACTGCACTGCGCTTGCAACCCAGCGAACCGAGGTTCGATTCCAGGCCGTGGCTGAACCCCCCCGCCCCCGCCACCACCCCATTCCGACTGGCATGAAGTATGCCGTCACATCGGTGCTCATCGTTTGCGTATAGTCAACATTTAACCATGAAAGCTGTCACCGATTCCCACGCGCACGGTTCCACGCGCGTGTCGCGAACGCAAGAACCAGTGTTGTTAGCGGGTGAGCTACATGAAAGGATGCGTTTATTAAACGCCGCTTGTCAAGAGTGTGCATGTTAATGCCTATACAGTCTGCGGTTATACATGCACAGTACAGTAGAAGCTTGGGAGCAAGTCCAGCTGTCCTTATATCAGAAGTAGCGTTCTTGTATCAGGAGATTCCCCCTGCCTTTCCCTCACCAATGTAATGCGTGGCTTATATCAGGACTGTGCTTATATAGGGTGTGCTCATATCCGGCGTTTTGCTGTCTTGGGTTTTGCTGCGTCTGAATTTTTCTTTTTTCTTTCTCAGAGCTCGTACTTAACAGTCTGCGGTTGTGCATCCACAGTACAGTAGAAGCTTGGGAGCAAGCACAGCTGTGCTTATATCAGAAGGAGGGTGCTTGTGTCAGGCGTTTCTCCTTGCCGTTGCCTCATCAATGTAATGCCAGGGTACGTGGCTTATATCAACACTGTGCTTATGCAGGGTGTACTCATATCCGGCTTTTTGCTGCCTTGGGTTTCGCTGCGTCTTCTCTTTCACTCGGCGCTTGTGTGTAACCCGCGCGTCCGTGTGTGTGTGTGTATCCCCGCTGCGCTGCCGCTGCGCTTGCTGGCGGTCAGAGCTCCGTGCAGGACTGGGGTCACGAGGTCGAGGAGGGCGCCGTCTACAGCGTGGCCATGAAGAAGATCCAGATCAAGGAGGCCTCGCACAAGGGACACAGGTGGCTCGGGGTGAGTCAGCCCGCACAGCTGCAGCATTAGCAGCAGCAGCAACGCCGAATGGAAAAGAGCAGTGCGCAGGAGAGATGCGGTTGAGGTGACCGGGTGAATCAGAGGGTCGGGAGATAGCTGAGCAAAGCGCTGCAGAGATTCGGGGCGTAAAACGAAACGGAGGTTTCAGCCGACTGGCTGAAAATCGCAACAGATTGTTTTGAGGGGTGTGATGCCGACGTTATTTTAACAAGAAGGGAAAAAGAAACATCACGGCGGAAAATTAATTACGGGAGTTTTTTGGTTTGTTTTTGGTTAAATCCAGTGACTTCATATGGTGCATACGTACACACTGCATCATGTGTCTGTGGCCAGTGTTTACACTGTGATAGCATACTTTATTTGGGAATCGCACCTTGTTTAACAGCTTCCTTCCATATCCAGCCCATACATCCCGTGTGCGTACATGTTTGTTTTTCTTTAATATCTGACGGAATGCGAATAATTATTTTCATTGCGATGATATTTCCACGAGCCATCGCATCCTGCCGCCCGGTGTCAGCTAGCAGCAGCAGCAGCATTCCTCACCCCGTTTGCGTTTGGTAAAGATTTTACTGGACGGGAAAATATGGACCAACGAACCCGAGAGCCCCCCCCTCCCCACCCCTAAATATCCATCATTTTTATTTTCTTATCTTGCGGCGCCGTGATTAAACGGGGAGTTTGACATGTCGTATCCTTGCAAACGTATGCAAGGGAAAGAATGTTATTTACCGGCGTCGGGCACTTTCCCCCACCACCCTCAATATTTGATGAAACATTCTCGAGGGCGAACGTTTGTCGCATTTAGTTCGTGTTACGAAAAAAATGATCGCGGCAAATAAAGAATGAAAGCTGCAATTTATTGAAGAGGAACTGCATCTTGGGCCCGAACAGGAAAAGTCCAGTGAAAATGTTATGCCTGTTCAAATCGAGCAAGAGGCCTTTGCTCATCGGGTGGAAATTCGACATTCCTATGACAAGGGCCAGTTTTTGGAAGGGCCAGTTTCTAGGTACTATGATTTCTTCCCACAAGAAGCTAAACAAATTCTAAATAGAATTTACCATATGTCGCAATGCTGCAAGACTTTCATGACCCTCCTGACAATTAGTTATGAGTACGTATGTCATTATATCATCCATAAATACATTATTTGTACATGAGCAATTTTTTTTAGGCGTGACTCCTTGAGGCTTTCCTGCGTAAATAAAGGGGAGCAAACCACAACGCCGCCCAGCAGTTTCTCATGAAGTCGGGGTTAGCTGGCGGCTTCCATGAAGGTCACCACTGATCAGCGTTAATATTTCCAATGATGTTCGTGGCGAAAACGTTCGTCAGCAGTGTGCTGTGATTTATTTACATTCTAAGCCAGCGCCGAGTGGACTAAAATGATCAAGCGTGACAATGACGACGACTGTCCAGCAAAGGTGAAAGCGCGACCGGCTCTGATGAGCCTAACGTAATTCGTCTGATTGAAGAAGGAGACTAAGATCGCTTGAGTAACGTTTGTCAGGGACAGGAGTGCACTGAAAACGATCAAAAATGGTAATTGGCTCCACGTGCTCACGACGTTATTTACCCAGTTCACTCATTGGCTGACCTGAAAATATCGGTGTGGGAAAGAATTGCAGGCCCCTCACACCAACATTTGATAATCAAGAGTGTTGGACTGAACGTTTGAGCTCTTCAGTCGACTAGACCAAGAGGGTGACCGAATACAATCCAAAGGACTTGACTGAAAGACGGCGGCTAAAATAAAGCCAAACGACGCAAACAACCACCGACTATGAATCAACTTCCTCTACCGACGGCCGCGTCTGATGCATCGCCCTGGGCCCCCCCCCTGCCCCCCACCCACCCCTCTCCCCTCTGCCCCAGGTGGAGAGCGACCCGCGGGCACCGGGCCACGGCGGGGTCGACCGCTACGAGACGTGCCGCGTGCGGAGCATCCGCGCCGGGACGCTCGCCAAGCTGGTGGAGAACCTCCTGCTGTCGTTCGGGGACGACGATTCCATCTACATCAGCGTCTTCCTGGCCACCTTCCGGGCATTCACCACCACCGGCGACGTCCTGCGCCTCCTCATCGACGAGTAATGGAGCCCCCCTTTCCTGCCGCCGCACCGCACGCTCGCTGCTCGCGCCGTCACGAGACAACAACAACAACGCCAAACGGGTGGCGGTTTCGCGATGTTTTTTGTTCTTGTCGCGGTGCTGAAGGTTAAAAGGTGGCTCGCCTCGCGCCACTGCTGGCGGGGAGTATGTGCAAGTGTGTACGTTGAACTTCGTTCGCACAGTGCGCAGCCCGGCCGTGCGGGAGGGCCTTCCGCTAGAACAGGGGTCGGGAACCTTTTTGACTGGGAGAGCCATAAAAGCCAAATATTTCTAAATATATTTCATTGAGAGCCATATAGTATTTTTAACGTATAATAAATTAAATATGTCTTACTTTTAATGCGACTTCTGGTGCTGCATGGTTTTGCTGATGGCCTTGTAGTCTGGTTCATACGTGGTGAGGTTGAGCTTCATGCAGGCGTGACCTGTGAAATGTATCTTCAAAACTAATTTCTGTTTACTTTTAAATGACACAGTATTATTAAACAATATCACAAGTATTTTAAAATCAGTTCCAAACTGATTTTTTTATTTTTTTATTATTATTTTTTTTCAACTCAAAATTGTCTGGGGGACATATGCCGTCACTGGAAGAGCCATATATGGCTCGCGAGCCATAGGTTCCCGACCGCTGCGCTAGAGGGAGCGCTCGAATGCCCGTCTGCTAGAGGGGGACGATTCTAATTTCTTTCCACTCATTCATCACTTTTTGGTTGTTGTTGTTGTTGTTCTACTTTGTTCTTTGTCGCAAAGAATAGCTACGCATTGTTGCCTGGCTGTAAATTCCCGTTTGATGAATGTGGAAAAGTGATTGTGATTTTGTTGTGGTCGCATTTGCCGTTATTATTTCAATACCCGTCATTATTCTCTTCATTCCATACTCGTCCGAACGCCTACTACTTCTGAGCTACACGATCATATTTGTAAAAGGGAATGAAGGGTTTCTTCATACGAAAACCGCAGATATTGAAACGCCCGTAAATAACGGCGTCGTTTTCCCCTCAGGCACGGCGAAAGGAAGAATGGAGATTGCGATGATGGCCGCGACCCAGTAAAGTCTGCGGACCAGACGTTCGTCAGGAAGTAAGTTCACGTTTCCTGTCACAGCGGTACAAGAGACCCTGTATGCTTTTGACAACGCACAAGCAGACTGTTTGGCCTCATCCACTCCGCACTGCGGGTCACAACACTTCTCTTTCTGCTTCTTCCCCTCACACTACTCCATTTTGGAATTCCCTCCTCCCACCGTCTCTCTTCTCTCTCGTTCCCCTCCAAGTTCGTGTAAAAAATTATAACAATAATATTAACTTTTGATTTAAAGTTTTCGTGACCGCAGGGATTCGTATTCTTGGTTCTTTCGGTAAAGTCACGTAGAAATAATACAATTATATATATAAAACAATACAAATTCTCACGACGTTTCGACTGCAACACAAATGTTCTTGCTGTGGATTTCAAACCTGATGATGATTGTTTGTGTTGCAGTCGAAACGTCGTGATAATTTTTATTATGTTTTATATTTGTATTATTTTATTAGACTTTACCGAAAGAACCAAGAATAAAAATATTAACGTTGCTTATTCATTCAAGAAACTCTCTTCAACTCGTAGCAATTGCCCCGTCAGTAGATGCTGTTTGTTGCTGGCTGCTTGGTGTTTTTTGGGGCTTTTGGGTTCTGTGCTCGTCATCCGCGGTAAAATATAGAAGAGCTCACAGAATAAACTAAACTAATCGATGTTTTATTTGACCAGGTAAGACCGACTGAGCTCTATATAGATAGCGCTTTTTCAGAAGCGACCTATACCACAAATGATAACTCAACAAAGTGGCTTATCACGTGGAAATTTATAGCAGCCAAATACTCGAAACGTATGACGTTGATTCTAAATTAATCTCGAGCGAGCGAAATAACAGCGAGGGCAGAAGGGGAGAGAAAACGTGAGGTTGCATTTTTACTGAGTTGTTGCGGTGTGTGGGGATGTCTTCTGCCAAAATGTGAAAAACGCACTTGTTATCAATGCCCTGTCTAATAAACGCAACGGCGTATACGTATACAATTCACTATTTATGGTGAAGGAAAGCTGGCTGCGCAGGATAATAAAAGTGTCGGCCTGGAGGGAACATTACAGTAAAAACATCCAGGTCCTAAATTCCAATAAGCCATGTTTTATTGCGTCGTAAACCTAAAATCCTTGGCTTAAAAATATAAATAACAAAACCAGCCTAAACCTGTGAAAACCAACTGCCTCAAAACAGCGCTTTCATGCCTTTCTTAAATTACTTCGCTTCCAATTTGATCACAGTCGCCAAAGCACAGGCCCAAACGGCCCAAACGACGCCAAGCGGTCGGCAACAAGCAGCACCATCGAAGGCGTAAGGGATGAACGTTGACGCATTTCAATTTTCTTTTTAAGAAGTTGAAGGTAGAGAGGAGAGGGAGAGAGAGACAACGGCTGGGTTTTCCAAAGGCGAGCTGTGTGAGGAGAGAAGCGGAAGGAGACGCGTTGCTGTCTGCAGTCGAAAACTCATTTTTGATCCCTGTTCATTGTCACAACGGCCCCACCTTGCCAAACAAGCTGCGGCTTGCCGTACGCGCGTAGGCGTAGCCGACAAAAGCCTGACCAGGCCCGAGGACATGGAAACCTCCCCCCACTGTGGTGTTTTTGATAAAGAGCATCGGTAGTAACCTCCGTGTCCTGGCTAGGATCTCATTACAACTTAATAGAAGCTGCTGGCCAGGCCAAAATGTCTTGTGTCTGACTAATCCTTCCCAGAAATGTATGTTAGAGAAAAACAAAAGATAACCTGAGTCTCTTGTAAATGATGTTGTTTCAACACATTTACAAGAAAGACTTCCGTTCCGAAACGAACACGTCACCGATTTTACGCTGCTCAGTATCGTCAAAAACAATATTGATTCTTTTTTCGGGCTCCCCCTACTACCCGTCCGTCTCCTGCCGTAACCGTTGGTCAAATACCTCCAGGGCCAAAAAAAAAATCACAAGACGCCTGTTGGAAATCGTCGACGTCAAACAAACAAAAACAATAATTCGCACGCCGCGGGTGCGCGTGATCTTCTCCAGAGCCGTCGCCTTCATCCTCCGAGTGTGGATGGACCAGTACCCCGAGGACTTCCACGCCGACGCCGAGTCGCTGGCGCTCGTGCTGGCCTACGTGTCGCGCGTGCTGCCCCACTCCGAGCTGCAGCGGCGAGCCCTGAGCCTGCGGTCGCCGCGTCCCGAGACCCCCCCCGGCTCGCCCGTGTCCTCGCCTGCGCCAGGTGCGGCATCGCCCACCATCCAACGAGGCGTCGTCGTCTTTGTTGTTGTTTCTATCGTTGTTTATTTCCGTGACGTCCCCTAACATCCGTGGGTCGCGCTTGTTGCACCTCCCCCCCCCCCCCTTGTTGTGCGGTCGGGTACGTACGGCGCTGAAAGAAGTTCAACATACGTACACGACTCTCAGGACAGGCCAGGGAAGATGCGGCTACTTGCCTCCACGAGCGGAGCGTTAGGAGCAGCCCAAATTGCGACCGAGGCCACCACCCAAGTTAGACGATCGCCCCACGTACTAAACCCGTGCCCCCGGGACCGTTCACCCGTTCACTCTGGCTCGCCTCCAGCCGTTGAATGGATCGCCAGCCTCAAAGTCAAACTATAATTGCTTCCCCAGCCATGTGCACAAGACTCTCAGCCAAGTGCATTTTGTACGAAGGCCTCGGGAACCACTCGCGGTTAGGCCGCGCGCCGAGCACTACTTCTTTGAAGCTCTCGCCACGCACTGCTGCGGGCATCTTTGGGAATCGAGGGCAACTCCACGGGGAGTTGAAGCCAACGTTAACTTATGAAGGTGCCCGCAGCAAGCAGTGCACGGCACAAGGTTGCCTTCCAACCGCTGCGGATGCTCGCGGTAGCGCGTGGCACAGAGCTTCAAGGGAGAAACTCTCAACACCCAGCCTAATGTGGCCGGAAGACCACGTTGGAAAGTGCAATTTGTGCTCAACGTAATTGCAGGCAGCAGTCCATTAAAACACGTTGGTGCTGCCCTGGCTACCCAGGGCGTCATCGTTGTTGTTGTCCTTGTTATTGTTATCATCGTCGTTGTTATTGTCGTCGTTATTGTTGTTTTTGTCGTTATTGTCGTTGTTGTTATTGTCGTTTTGGTTATTGTTTTTGGTACTGGAACCTGGTTGAATTGTCCCTGGCTGTGCCACGGTGTTGCACGTGTGTACGTTGAACTACTTTCGCACCGTACGTAGCCAACCGTGCCAATCAGTGGATCCAATTGTTTGTGTTTCGTGTCTCTAGCTGCGATTGTATTTAGCCGCTATAGATACACATTGCAGTGGTTGTTGTTGTTGTGGTGTTTACATTGTAGATTTAATTGAAGCTGCTATGGCGAAGTTTACGCGTCTAACTCTGACTCGCGGTTCATTTGCTTCGTCGTCTGTTCGTTCATGAGAGCCCAAATCCATCATTCATTGATTTCCTGTAGGGCAACAGTCATAGCAGGGCATTTGCACTGTAGGCTCGGTGAGTAACAGCCCTGGGTGGACAACAGTAATGGAATTGGCTCACGTGCCCCAGCGGTTAATTGGCGTTGTCACTAACCGACGCATGCCAATTAACCACCGAGCACGCCGAATAGAAAAAATAAACGTAATGATAAACATGGGTGTGTCGTGTTTGGAGGTAAATTTGTGTGCTTTTAGAAAAAAATACGGCTTGTTTATTAAATACGTCAGTCGTCCGATTGAGTTATTTGATAAATATTTACCATCACCACCCCAGGGTAGATGGAAACGTCAGATCTCCTGAGTAGTTGTGCCATTGTGGTCATCTATGAGCAGATCTTCCTTATCAAGAAAAGTAGATCATTTATATTTGACTTGCAACCCTAAGTAGATGACACACTGGCACCCCAGTGAAAATCTCACCAGTCCCGACGTCGCTCACCACCAACGTTATTCACGACCAGGAACCAAACTCAGTTGGCTTGGTTCGCGTGCCAATCACTGTGCCAACGCTCCGCTACAACTATCACCACCCCTACCACGAACCCTATCACTCCCACTACCCCTATCACTACGCCAACATCTGTACCGTGTGCGTAGCGAATGTCCGATATCGTGGCGTCGCCCCTCCGCCCCCCGCCCCCTTCCGGCATCTCGGTTAATCGACGCTTCCTGGTCGCAGGCCCAGCGGCGGCGAGGCAGAAGCAATCGGGGCACGCTCCCTTCAGCCTCGGGGAGGACGAGGCGGACCCGCCGACTGACGCGCAGGTGGACGCGGCGGAGGAGAGGCCTTACCTGCTCTCGTTCCCGGCTCAAACCGTGGCCCGGCAGCTCACCTTGCGTGACGCCGTGAGTTGTGCGCTGGCGGCTGCCGTGTTTGTAGGCGTTAGGATGCGTCGCTTGGGTGATGCGCGCACCGTAGAAACGATCTGCACTCTTTCATTTATAATTTGTCAATTCCACCGCTCGGTGAGGGCCACACTGCGCCACCATGCTGGTATGTATGTTACTGGACATCTGTGAAAAAGAGCTTCATAGCTCAGCGGATTGCTGCAAGTGTAAATAAATATTATGATTCTGAAACTCATTCGCACCGTACGGAGCCAACCGTGCTAATCGGGGGTGCGGGGGAAGGTCAACAAACTAAACACAAAAAGCAGTTCTGAAGAAATAGTTTGGGTTGGTGAAGGGAGGCAGCATGGACATGGGAACATATAAACAAGTACATTCCAACCGTGGATTTTGTTGCACTGGCCATACTTTTAGGGCCATGGTTAATGGTGAAATAGAAGACAAAGGGAATAATGTGCCCAGCGTGTCGTGATGCCACCAGCTTTGTGAAGAACACTTCTGCATTTGTGCAGACATATGTCCGGCATGGGTAATTCTTTGTAAAAATACATTTAATCACGTAATTTTCTGTCATTTTACTAAATCATGACGCTGAAAATGGCCCATTCTAATTGACCACCGTCGATGGATGATTCACATCCACACTACGCACCATCTGTTCTGCACGGCAATTATTCATTTCTTCCTATGCTTATTTATATCTGTGGGTTGGAGTGGTGGCAGGGTGTGAATTTGATTTTGGCCACGGTTAACGTCAGCGGCGAGCGACATCTGAGCCAATCCCGGTGTCCTCCATTCCCCGACCCCGCATGAACCCCTTTCATCCAACAGTCGATTGACAAAAAAAGTCCTTTATTTCATTCTTACAACAACAAAAAATACCCTAACCGCGATTGAACACGTGTCGCGCAGGAGCTCTTCAAGAAGGTGGCGCCGCACCACTGCCTGGGCTGCGTGTGGTCACGCCGCGACCGCAAGGGCAACCGCCACCTGGCGCCCTCGGTGCGCGCCACCATCGCGCAGTTTAACGCCGTGGCGGCGTGCGTCGCGTGCACCGTGCTCCGCTGCTTGAGCGACCAGGCGGCTGCGGGGCACGGCGCTCCGGGTACCGGCGCACGGCACGCAGCGGCGCAGCGAGCCCGCGTCGTCGAGCACTGGATCGCCGTCGCTCAGGTGAAGACGGCTCGCCGAGCCCCCCCCCCGCCCGCCCCCTCCGGCCTGGACAGTTCTACTGCTGCGACCGTTGCGCCAGAGCCGGGAAGCTGGGTCGTAGTGCCCCCCCCCCCACCTCGACCCCAGCCGCTCGCAGCAGCAGCAGCAGTCTGTGCATCCCGAAGCGGAGTTATGAGGCCGGCCAGCTAGACGCTTCCAATCGCCACTGGGTTTCACTGCGCACCTTGACTTGACACGTAGCCATGCGGTTGCCTCTGACGGTCAAGTCTTGATTCCTCTCCTCTTGTTTTAGCGACTCATGAGTTCACGTCCAAGTTGGGTTGCCAGAGTACAGCCTCGTAGAGGGGGGAGCTGAGTGGACGTCTTGCTGAGTTTGACCGAGGCACTGCAATGGTTCGCAATGGGGTCCACTACTACGGTCTGGTTAAGAGATCCCACCATTTGCGTGCCACGGGCCTCCTCTGCCACGGGTGCTACGCAGTTATTCGGTTCGTTGTCGCGCGCCAATGTTTGTTTGGGGCAGGTATACATGGTGGTGGTGGGAGGGGGCGGGGTTCAGTGTCAACCCTTGAATACCTGGGGCGATGGGTAGGGAGGGGGCAAGCCTGGATAAAAGGAAAACACGGATAATGCAAAGCAGATGTAAACTGAGTTATAAAACACACACGTATTGTTTACTGATGGAGAAGAGAGCGAGGAGGCAGCATGTATAGTGCGTTTTTATTGCTTCTTAAAGTTATCCGTTTAACCTCCTGATTTGAATGCGGTCCTTTTGGTCACCGAGTGATTGCTGACCCTGAACGAGTTAGCATCAGCAAATAATTAAATCGGCACGTGTGTCAGGATTTTTATTCTCAGTAAGCGCGGTTAATGCGCAAGTCAGATGATCCGCTCGCAGGTAACAGCGAGGGTCACTGGCATTCGGAAGGTCTCTTACGCACTCCTCTGTTGTATCCACGCCCACGATTTCCTGGAATTTTCTGCCGCAGGACTGTGCAGGTTGCGTGATAGAGCAAAATCCGAGGTTTGTGAGGGCCGACTGCCCCGAAGTGGTTTTTCGTATGCAATTTGGATTCTCAGAAAGTCTTTAAACATTTTTTTGCAAATCTCTCGTTGTGCCGGCATCCAAGTGACTCGTTTGTTTTGAACAATTGCCTCTGACGCCGTTCAATTTCTTTCTCGCAGGAGTGCCGGATGCTGAAAAATTTCTCTTCCCTCCGAGCCATTCTCTCTGCACTTCAGACGAACCCAATTCACCGGCTAAAGAAGACTTGGTGCTGCGTGTCAAGGTTTGGAAACAACCCATCTGAGTTCAAGCACCCGTAGCAGTCACATCGGCGTACTCTGCAGTTGTGCAACGATTTGCCCTCCCCAGAGGTTCCATGAATTGGCATGATTCAGGCATCATCATGACTTGATTACAGAACGTATTCCTTTTTGTGTTATATATATGTACCGTGTTTTTTGTGTCCCGTCCCCTTTATTTTCGTCTCGTATTTACGCGGCGTTTTTTTTTTTGCTTGATTAGTCTAAACGTAAAAAAGAAAATTCATACGAAATTTACATTCATTGTATATGGGATCTATTTTTACACACCGACGCTAAAATCCGAGTTGCAGGTAGAAGGACTGAGGCTGGCTTAGATTCACGACCAAATGTTTTGTTTTTCTTGGCGTGAGGCGTTCGCAGCGGTGCTGACGGCTTTCTTCAAAGTGTCACTTTTGAACAACACTTGCTTGCTTACATTTGCAGAGAGAAGATCGTGGCATTCGCGGAGCTGTCAGAGATATTCTCTGATGAGAACAACCACTTCACGAGCCGAGAGCTGCTAATGAAGGCAAGCGAAACATCCCAGGGAATGATTAATGAAACGTTCCCTCTCAAACGTAAACATCTCAACTGCTAATTTAACAATGTGCTCCATATGCCCACGCAACATATTGTTTTGTTTGTGTAAAAAAAAACCGACGCTTTATTTATCCTTTTTCTTTCTTCCAAAGTCCATTATAATTTTTCGTAAAAAAATTGTCTCAACCAGAATGATATCACCGAAACAAAATTCCTTTGGCGACATTCGGTATATTATCCTTACTTTCTCCCCCTTTTGCATGCTCCACCTTCCTCAAATAAACCAGGAGGGTACGTCCAAGTTCGCGAGCCTGGATTCCAACGGCAAAGAAAGCCAGAAGCGGACGTTCAAGCGATTTCAGACGGCGAAGGAGCCGGTGAGAGAGGAATCTGCCCGGGGGATGCCCTCCCCCCTCGATTGCCCCATGGAGTGTCGCGGAGCGCTGCAGTGATCGCACGATCGCCGTTCTTTTGGCTGCCATTCGACCGAGCGGTCGCGTGCAGTTGTCAAGAAAAACAAACTCCTGGCTGAACTGCGGTGTCAGCAGCAACGTTCGCAATGGCCCGGTATCCCGAGCACGACCTGTCTGTCTTGTCGGTGACGTGGCCGAGCGGTAGTGCCTTTTTTGCCGATCGATCGCGGTTTCGAGCCCAGCGGCCACGCTGGTTAAGACTGCGGCTCTGGTAACAACAGAAACGAAATGCACGCACCGTCTGCTTCGCAGTGGTTGCCAAAGATCCCGTGACGTTATTCGAGCCGGCGTCACGTACCAACGTAGGAGATTACTTGGGGAATTATCTCATTGGTATATGCCACAAAGTGACATCACCCCTTTACTTTGAAACGATTTGCAGACTGCAATCGTCTGTGAAACGTAGCGCCTTCGTGATAGCCTTTGGCTGCAAGGATGGCACCAATGCCAAACGCAGTCGTGATTTGATTTGGTGTTATTGTCTTTGCTGCAGGGCCTCATGCAGGGAACCATTCCATACTTGGGAACGTTTCTGACGGACCTCACCATGTTGGACACTGCCTTGCCAGACTACGTGGAGGTACATAGCAGACTTCATCTCTTCTGGCACAGAAAAAAACAACTCGTGTCTCAGCTTGCACGCATACTGTACAGTATGTGCGCCACGGATAGTAAAGCTTAATATTTTTTACATTTAACGATCATTCTGTTATTTTCTTTTTCTAACAGGGTGGCCTGATTAACTTTGAGAAGAGGAGAAAGGTGAGAATTTTATATCGTAAAATTATCAATATTCCTGTTTATGAGTGGTCTTTAATTCGACCTTGTAATTGCAAATCACCCAGAATGAGCCCGGTCAAAAGTTAAGCGGGTTTGAGCCTCGATGATGATTGGATGGGTGGCCACATTGCACAACACATTTGTGCATGGGCTACTGCATTGTGGGCAGCAGAGGACGGTGCAGCCAACTCCACTTATGTCGTGTATCTCTATGCTTCCACGTCCAAGCTCCAGGCCTTTATTCCGCATTGACCAGCGTGGTGCAGGATGGGCAAATAACCGATTTAACCTGCACGGCATGGGGAGACTCTAATCTAGCGGTGGAATAGCAGAGGCCTGGCTGTACATGGACACAGAATTTGCTATTTACACGCTTTAAACGTGAGCGTGTTCGGAACGCATCAAACGAAGAATCTGCTCCCACGTTTACTTAATGCCAAGCGACCAGACTTTAATGTAATTTTTGTTGTGCTTTATTACAGGAGTTTGAAGTCATTGCACAGATCCGGTTGCTGCAGCTGGCTTGTAACAACTACTCTTTGAGCCCCGAAGGGAAATTTTTGGACTGGTTTAACCGGCAAGAAAAGCTGAGCGAGGAAGAAAGGTGCGTGTGTGTATGTGCGCGCGTAGCGAGCGTTACGTTAATTGATTTAGACTTTTATCCCGCTCTGTTTTGTGCGGTTATTATTTCGTCGCTCCGTAAAGCTGTATTTCAACGCCTCATTCGCGAGGCGGCCTTGTATTTTGTGTGCAGGAATTATCGGCCGATTATTTCATTGTGGTTCATTTTTTACCCTTTGCCACGGAATATCGCTGGGACCTTGAAACGTTCATAAGCAGGCTGAAAATCAGCCGATTCTAATGGTATCCCTAAATGATGAGAAAACCCATCAGATAAGGAAGGCTCCCCGCACACTTACCCTTTCTGCTCTGCTCTAATGAGTTTCTCATCGTTTGCAAAAAGTGTCAAGATTGGTTTCACGTGTGTGTATGTGTGTTGAACTTCTTTCGCGCCATACGTCGCCAACCGTGCTCATCGGAGGCACGTGGGAAGGAAAATAAACTAAACACAAGGCAGAGTCAGACGATCCTCAGTGCCCAGATAAAGGCCTCCGAGAGACAATGCAGCAGTCACTCATTGTGTTGGTGCTGCTTAAAGTAACATGGCTGTAATTGTATCTTGTTGTCTACAACACCAATGCATTGAGCATCGGTATAGGCGGTATGGCGATGGCTCATGCAAGGCACACCATAAGGACTTGGCGTATGGCCACAGTGGTACCAATTGTTATTACTCTCAAGCTGACATGGTGCTCTTGCCATCAGCCCCCCGCCCGCCCGCCCCCACCACTGAAATTGACTTATTGATCAGGCCTAGACAGGGCATTCGCGTAACACATGGGTTGGTGTTTTTTTTTAAGACCACCAGGCCACCCAACTGGCCCGGCAAATTACTTTTTCTTGAATTTAATTGTGTTTCGAGGGGTTGGGGCGTATTAATTAGTTCGGGATGGCCTCATTTTACATTGATTTTTTCAACGTACGGCCTCATTACCCATGGCTTGCATGCAAATGCCAGGAGCAAAGCGGTGCCGTTGGGCGTGAGCCACCACAAGCGGCGGCTGCGCTGGCAAGTTGAAGGACGGGGCGTGAGAGAGAGCGGTGGGGCTGGCGCTGACGCCGCCGGCGGGGCGGCGTCGGCGCCACGCCTTGTCTTTATCTCCACGCAAAGCCCTAAATCGTGTGCGCTCACGGTCTTTCCCACCCTTCAGGTAATACCTGCAACTTTTGTACAAAATGTAATGCTGTGGGCGTGTGTTTTAAATCTTCTGTTTGTTGTTGTTGTCGTCGCTGCTGTTGCTGCTGCCCCCCCAGCTATGCACTCTCGTGCGAAATTGAACCCCCCACGGAAGTCAGCCCCACGTCGCCCAGGCAAAGAAAGAGCGTCGTCAAGCGGCTCAGCCTGTGAGTGTCACGGTCCGCGTGGATTTGTGAACGCTTCTCCCGGAGCTGATCGGCGGCTGCAGTGCGATCTTGTGTGTGTCTCTTTTGGCACGCACGCCGTTTCAAGTTATATGGGGCAATCCGTTTCTGCGTAACATTTGCCATATGCAAAGAACATTTTAATTTATGGCATCACTGAATGAATCACGTTCATAAAGCCATGTCGTTTGTTAAGTGAGACAAACCGCACTAACATTACCTGAATTATTTATTACCCTCATCAGGGCTTTCCTCTTTTTTTGGCCGATGAAGTTGTTGTTTCATGCCAGGTTTAGTGCTTTGTCATGTCCCCCGTGACAATTGATTTTACATTGTAACTTATTAATACGATGAAATGATGATGACGTTGACAAGAAATTTCCAATACAGTATTGTACTTTCAATTGAATCCAATTATTGATATTTTACGCCGCCATTTTCACATCACAAAAAACAATTGTTAAAAACGGGCCGCGGCAGCTAAATTTATACGGACGTACAGGTATGCATGTTGAACCTTCTTTCGCACGGTACGTAGCCAACCGCACTAATCGGAGGCGCGGGGGAAGGACAACAAACTAAAACACAAAAAGCAGTTGTAAAGAAATACTTTTCAATCTAGATTTAAAATCAACAGCAGCGACGATGTTTATCAACCCAAAACGATGCTTCCATTGCAATCAATCGACGGATCGATCCTTGTCCCGCACACGCAGCCTCTTCATCGGGGTTGACGTGGCGCCAGGCAGCCCCCAAGCCCGGACGCCCAACGGCGAAGTGGCCGCACTGGAAGAATCTCCCGAGGGTGGCGCTGCGGGCGCCACGGGCGGCGAGGGCTGCGGCCTAGGCGCTCGCGCGGGAGATGGAGCACCGGGCTCCGGTGGCGGCGGTGCTGGCGTTGTTGGCGGCGAGCGTGCCGACTGCCTGAGCGTGGCGTCGAGTGCCTCGGAGCACGACGACGTGGGCACGCCCGCTGATGCACCCGACGGCTGCCCCAAAGAGGTGTGGGCACTGCCGCTAATGCTGCCAAAACCACCTCATCCGCCACCACCTCCGCCACCACTACCACGCCACCACCGCCAGTACCGACTAACAGTTACCGCCACCACCACCATCATGACTGCCGCCACTACTGCTGCCACGACCGCCACCTCTGCCACTACTACAATCCATCATCACCACCACTGACACACGACTCACCAGTGGCCGGTTACATGAGACAAATCAGGTGAATGTGTGCCATCATCATCATCATCGTCGTCATCATCAGCAGCTAAGATAAGCGGCAACAGCGAGATGAAGGCATGCCTGTGTCGCCGCGATGGTCCTGCGATGCGACAATTTCATCGCACGCTTCCTGTGCAATGCGTCATTACTAGCTCAGTTAAATAAATACGTGTTTCATGTAACTTGACAACGTGAAGAATATCGTAGGCAGCTTATGGATGGAATAGAGCGTGATTGGCCATCGCGCTTCAGTTCTAGTGAATCCTGATGTGGACGCAGGACGAGTGGAGGTAATCAGGGATGAGGGTTACCGTGGGTCTCGTTGCCTTTCCGACGCATAACCCGAGAAGTGTGGGAATGAGCTGTGGCACTCGAGTGACGGGTGACAATTGATTCATGGTTATTACTTTTTCTTACTACGGCGCAAAAAAAAACATTAATTCCATAACGAATGGCTGCATGCATAGGCAGGCTACCTTGCGGGCGACACACCCATTGTGCTCTCATGCCGAGGCAAGCATACCTCTTGATGCGCCGCCAGGCGGGAAATTGCGCGGGCGGGCGAGCGGGCGAGGGCGTCAAGCTCTCGCGTTGTTCCCACGCTTGGCGTTCGAGGTAAACAAAAGCGCGCGCTCGTTTGCGAAATCCGCAGCTGTCGACGAGCTCCTCGCTCGCCTCGCTCCACTCGGCCGACGTCTCCTCGGGCGTCTTCGCTGGGTCGGGCGTCTCCTGCTCGTCCTCGTCCTCCTCGTCCTCGTCATCGGCGTCCTCTCCCAGGTCCTCGTTCAGGCTGCACGGTCAACGGTGAGGACGCTCCCTCGGCGTGAACCAATGACAAAGCGTTGGAGGCTTAACGATTCATAGAGCTGGGAAAGGCCTCTTAAATTCCCCCGCCATTGTCCACCGAAAAGAATGGGTTATGCCGCGGTTAGCCAATCGGCGGTTCACGTGTGTCGGGGGAAAAAAGTGTGGGGGGTACCCCCACCTTTTCCAAGACTTCTTGCCAACGTGGAAGAGAAATGCTCTCTAAGAACCCCCTCTAGTGGAGGCCCTTCCACCAGCAAGGGCCACATGATGAACCCTTTCCCATTGCGATGACGTACATGTACGTCATCATCATGGGACCTCCCTTGCCAGTATCAGAGGCTAGGTTTTAAAGAAAGCTGTCTCTGGTGTGGACCAATCAGTTTCAAAGACAATGCATCATATACTACCGGAGCATGTTTTTTGTTTGTTTGCATGTTCGCCACAAGTACGTGTGGTTAATGCAGACATGATTCCTTGTTAAAGGTTTCTGTTTTGGTCTTTTAACATCTTAACACAACTGTTTTATTGCCAGAAAGGGTAAAACATATTGTTATATTGTGTACGTCATTATTCTCATTAAGCATCGATGACTTTATCGATCCTGAGGCTCCCACAAGGCCATGCGTTTGGCACAGTTTGGTGCCAGCTATCGTAGAGTGGCGGTCGTATTGCTGCAGTTCTCTGCGGTGACTACAATCTCTTGAACACAAACGATGCCACGCCTCTCTAAATAAAATTTACGCTGAGCCTCTTCCATTTTCCGAGATTCAGCAATGAGCGGGACACCCACCCCGCAACTTGCAGACATCTCGATACTGAACCCTCCACCTCCCGCACTAAACACATCTTCATCGTCCCTAAAATTCACGCAACGTCGAGGAGGCAGTCCGATTAGCATGGTTGGCTACGTACGGTGTGAAAGAAGTCCAACATACATACATACCCCACCTGTACACCTCGCTTCCCGGTGAGCCATATAGACACATTGTGACGAGCTGTACCACAACCCCTGCCCTCCCGCTCCCCCCCCCACCGTCCCCCACCCACCATCGTCCTGCAGGAGCGTGTTCAACAAGACGCACCAGCGCTCAGTCTCCTGCTGCTCAGCGGTCACCCGCCCCGTCTACAACCGCCAGTCGGACGACTCGTGCATCATCCGCGTCGTGCTGCAGTCGCCCAGCGACGGGAACCTCTACAAGAGCGTGCTGGTGGGTGCAGAGCGAGGCCGCGCGGCGGCTCTGCCGGTGTGCGCCGTTTTGTCGTCGGTCAACTTTTTGAAAGGGGATCGGTTGGTGGGACGATGTGAGCGGGTCGACGGGACTCTCAATGTGAGAAGCGGACGATATGCAAATAGATGGAAAATCATCTGTCAGTGACATCAGCCCAGAGTTATGATCATGCTGCTGATGATGATGATGATACAAGATATGGTTAGCTAACTCGTCCAGTGGCTTTGCTGCACGCCTGTAGTCCAGCATTGTGCAGGCCAGGATTGGTGGTTCACACACAAGAGCTAACTTTAAATAAGCAGTACTTACAAATGGTTAATTATTTTTGTATCTAATCACGTTGCACTGTTTGCAGAATCAATCTAATTCTATATATAACCTCTTAACGACATTACGCCTTCTGAACCCCAACCCCACTCTGCTTGCTCAGCTCACCAGCCAAGACAAGACGTCCAGCGTGATAGGGAAGGCGATGGTCAAGTACAATCTGGAGATGGAACGAGCCGAAGATTACCAGCTTGTGCAAGTCATCTCGAACGAGAGAGGTGAGCCCCGTGCCAACTCGCAGTCGTCCGTAGAAAGCATCGATTTAGCCAGGAAATGTGCTCTCCGAATCAATAATTTACGCCGTTAATGTTTGTTCTCCACGAATGGGTTTGCTCGATATGTTTTTGGCAGTGGAGTGGTCGGATTTGATGGTCGGACGGACGGATAAATGGGCTGTTAACTCAAATTCGTTCCCACGTCCCGTTTTGCGCCGCATCGTGTTTTTCGTTTTTCGCAGAGCTCGTGATGCCTGACCGTGCCAACGTCTTCTACGCCATGAGCACCTCCGCCAACTTTGACTTTGTCCTGCGCAAGAAGGGCTCTCCGCGGCCAGCCGGTCCGGCGGCGCCACCGCCGCCACCGCCATCTCGCAGCCAGTCCAGCTCGTCGCTGCCCAACCTCAAATCCAAGGGGGGCTCCCTCACCCAGCGGCTCAACAGGGCCGCCCTGTAAGGCAGCAGCAAAAATCAGGAGATGCTCCAACACGCCTGGGCCGCCGTTGTCGCCGCTGTCGCCTCTGTTCCGTTGTGAGCGGAATGTCACCGCGTGACAATGCCCTCAGGCCCAGGATGGATGTTAGTTTTGTTTGGGGGGAGGGGGGGCGGACGTCGTGGAATCCCGTCGTCAAGAAAACAACGCGATGTCGCTTTGAGAACGGCGATGCCGGCCATGCCTTTGTTGGGAATGAGTTCATGAAAGCCGATGCTGTACGTAATGTGTAGATGGAAGTGAGAGGATGTGGACTTGCGTAATGCCGTGGTGTTCTGTGGGGAAGAGAAAAAAACTGGATGGGTGAAGTTGTTGAAAGTGCAGGTTTGCGTGTCGAGTGGAGACATGGTGGTATCTTGGTCTGAATATGACCCCTTTGCACTTGTTTTTTTTTCGAATTGCGAATAGGTTTGTTTCCACTAAATGAAAGCAAACATAAGATATTTTTTTGAAAATCATTGAGCTATCAACTAACATTTTTGACAGAAATAAAAGAGTACAACTCAGCTGTGTTTTGAGAGGTTCCAAGACTTACATTTGTCGTACGGGCTTAGTGGCTAAGTCTATTTGATTTCAACATTATCTTTAAATTATATACATTGATATGAATTTTGCATGTACTGTTGAAAAATATAATTTCTGTACTGTAATAGCTTTTCGTGTCACTGAATATTTCGCAGTGATAATACAATTACAACACTGCCCTCTGGTGAAATATAGTGAGTATAAAAATGCATTTGAATTCAATGGCTGTCAAAACTTCGTTACGTCGGCAATTATTGATTTAGGTTTTTTGTTGTAACAGCGCCACAATTGCTCGTGCTAATTTAACAATCGTGTGTTTTTAAATTCTGCACGAGTTTGCAGATGTCCCTCTCCCTCAGCTGCAGGCGTGGCTATCGTGGAATCTTTTAAAGATCGGGGTTTCCACCTTGTGCACAGACCAAATTTCGGACGCATTTCTTAGTCGGCCTCAAGTCTATCAAACCTGCTGCGATATACAGTGATTAAGTTCAACACGACAACGCCAACGCCATGTCCACTTAATTTACATTGTAACAATTATACAACAAAGTGTAGAATTTTTTTTATTATTATTATCAGGTTTTGTAAAATGTTACTAATACCTGACTAAACATGTGGAGCACACTTGGGGTTTAAGACTTCGCACTCTAAAGTATAATCAAGAGGAGAGCCATTAACAGGCTTTATTTTAAATGGTTTATCTCTGCCCGTTCGGAAAATTTAACTTGTCGTTAAAAACCCATTTTTGCTCATTTGTATCGTTGCTGGAAAGCAACATCTTAAAGCCAACGTAACGTATTGCAGTACTTAACAAAGTCCAACCAAAATATTACGCAGACATTCACATGCCTGCGATTCCGGTGATGGTTTTATTTAAATTAAACGTCTTTACCGTCATCTCAAATGTTTTACACTTTGAAGCTTGATTTGCCAAATTTAATAGCTGTGTGCAGTATTATGTGTGTCATTATGTAATGCACTCAAGATTGTCTCTTGCCTGTTTCACTTTTTCATTTAAGATTACCGTGTCTTTTTGTTGTTGTCTTCAAGCTATTACGAACATACTGTATTTGCTAGATTTGTATAATTCAAAACTCTTAATGTCGTTTACAAAATCTGTGCAACAGAACCATATGTTGAATCTCCTGCTTTTGGACAGGAAATGAATAATGCCACACCAGCCAGTACTGTCTTGTGGCGCTTAACACTTTTGATAAGCATTCTATTCCAATAATTGGAAAATCTTTAGGAATAATCTTAATTTTGTTGAAATGGTGTCCTTATCCAACATGGATGACTGCACAAATCGGTTGGATTAGGTGGTTATGTGTGTGTAAATTGTCACGATGTCTATATCCCTATATACATATCTTTTAAAGTTATATTTGTTTTGTCTTTGTACAGAACTGCCATTTTTTGAATGCGGTCTGTAATGCACTAATGCAAAATGTTTAATTTCCCCTTAAATATATTTCTTTCGTTCTTGCAAATATAGCCAACGATGTATTTGACGTGTTAAACTGTTTCAAACGATACCAAAAAATGGCTTCGCTGTGTGCTTGCTTTACGAATTATTACTCACTTCGAAATGGCAAATTTCAATGCAGTCCTTTATAGGTGACTTAAGCTTGACAAACTGCCTGAGTACATGGTCAGGTTTTTGGGGTGTGTGTGTGTGTATAAGCATCACAATGTTTACTCTTGTGTGTACCTGCTTGGCACAACTGGCCTGGCCCATTTGGTTTTTGAAACACGGTCGGATACAGAATGAGAAGCCAGCCAGTCAGCCACTTTACCTTTGGTCGAGCGTCACCCCCCTGGTGACCAGGTGTGCCGCGGTAATGGCGCACGTAAATAAAGACGTGTAAATGTGATTACATTTACACGGGGAGAGTTACTGTAATCGAGGTTTTATTGGGTTAGATCGCATAAATGTAAATGTGTCGTAAATATTAAATTACCACATTGGTTGCCGCCTGATGAGGCTCGTTGCAATTACCGGCAAAACTTCTTACTCGAATTGTAAATGTGTGCTGAACTAGTAACGAATTGGCATGTTTTGTTTACGTGACAAACCTTACTAATTGGCTGTTTCGGGGTGGTGGTGGGTTGAACGACACATTCATATTTACACGGTTGAACGCAACAACAAAAAAACACTGAGAGATATTGGTCACAGAAGCCTACGTGTTAAACTGAGAGCACTGTAGTTCAGAATTGTCTATTCAATGCAGTGCTCACGCCATTTACAAACGCTCATGGATTGGCCCATAACACCTCGATATATATAGGATCGCAGAGCTTGAGCAATTATTGATTACCAGCTCATTGGGTAGCTGCCTTCCAGCTGCACGTGGTTCCTCGCGTCTCACGTCGTTCTTTCTCAATGAGAGTGAGTGAATACTGGTGCGCGTTACGAGCTACATACCCACACACATATTCACTGTACTTTCTCTACGGTTGATTACGTGAGAACAGAGAAGCGATCCGTTTATAGATGTCCCACTAAAATAACAGGGAGATGTTACGAGAGTAAACGATATTTTATTTCAAAGCATCAACGTCTCCCACCAATCTGAATACTCATTAAAATCACTTTAAACGTTATTAAGCCGCCGTATTAAACAAGATTCAATCACCTGTTCTGAAGAGGATCATTATAAATCAGTGGGGTATCTATAAGTGGACACAATTTTTAAGAAATCCCAATGCCATAAGAATGGGCTACGTTTTTTGATGGTAGCAATAACTGTAATACTCGTACACAAATTCGTTGCGATTTTTTTTGTATGGAAATCGAATACCACGTGCTTTGTACCTAAAACAAAGGTTTACAATCATTGTCCGAGTATCATTGGTTTTCTAATCAGTAAAGCTACAACTGCAATCATTTAAAACTGTAACGTGTGAGGATGACTCACCCTGGCACTTTCTATAATTCAGTATTACAAACCTTACTGCTGTTTTTTCCCTTCTAATGCTTGGTAATGTATGCACCCCAAATGTAAATTGCTCACAAATTCCACACTACTACTTTTTAATGGGTGATCATTTTCGCTTTTGTCGATGTGTACATTTTCAGTATAGCATATTTTTCAAGAATTGCAATTTAAATTGTATTGAAACTTGTTACGTGATATTTCCTGACAATCCCTATTTCATTTTGTCGCTGCCGTTGCATTTCAGTGGAAATTTGGCAGGTGTTTCTTGAAAGAATTCGTGTAATAAATCTGTACACCATACTGAAATGTCTTCATGTTTTTTTAAATACCTCCTAAACGTACTGGGTTGCATTTAAAAAGGTGACTTTTTGAATGCAATGTGAGATCATAACCTTAAGGTTGTTTTTCCCCCCATCATTTGTGAGTGTTTATTTCTTCATGTGGTTAACAATCATTAGTATTAAAGGTTAGTATTAAAGGTTAAGGATGTAGCTGTTATGGAATGTAATCCAGAGGTCGCCGGTTCAGTCTTTTGGCGTGGCAGTTGGTAGAACGGACACGTTTCTTAAATTATTATTTGGTTCTCTCGGTAAAGTAACGTATCAAGATGAAATAATTAACAAAATTTTATACTAGCATACGACGTTTCGATTGCAACACAAGCAATCATCATCAGGTATAAATTAAATAGAAACACAAATCTAGTATACTTAGAAATGTAATGTAATAAAACAGAGAGTCGGATAACATAACAGTCAACACCCTACCTGGTTGATTACGTTCTTCCTAAGAATGATAAATTTGAGAGAGAGATCAAACTGAACCACGTTTCTTAAACCATTCAGTCTCTGCAATATAAATTGTCGACCATAAGTGGATTGGAAGGTCAAAGGTCTACGTGTGGATACTCCAACCCATTTTCAAGATGTCTGACCAGCATGGTCGAGCAGGCCAACATACCCTCCAGAGGGACTCTAGAGATCCCTCGAGTGGTGCCTCTATCACCAGCACGGCATTTCAGGGCTGCACCTTTACCTTATTACAATATTACTTATCCGTACCTGTCAACCCCTTATCAGTGCCCACTTTATTAGAGATGAATTCAGACCTCGTTATAAGAATAGCTATTACTCTTTCTGGAAATAAAACAGGTGTTAAGATGTTAAAACACCAAACTGAAACATTTTGAGGGGGTGGGTGGCCAGCATCACGCACGACCGCCTTTGTCTCCCCCGTGGAGATGTTTACACATTGCACCAGGTACTCATTTGAGGCCGAATCGACCTAGGGAAGGCCCAGGACCGGTTCGAAGATTCGTTGCTGTTATTGGCTTCCTTGAAACCCATGCGGGTTAACTGCTAAAGCCATCATTTAGGTTTTTGTGGGGTTAGATCGTGTAAATATAAATGTGTCGTTAAACCCGCCACCACCCGACACGGCCAATTAGTAAAGTTTGTCAAGTAAACAGAACATGCCAATTCGTTACGAGTCCAGCACCAGTGTGTTGGGGAGAAAATTGTCACAATATTTACAATCCGAGTACGACAATTCGCCAGTAATTACAACTAGCATCATCAATCAGGTGGACAGCCAGATTTGTGGAGAAATTCTCCTGTTTCGTTTTTTTAAAAATAGAATGATAGATGTGATTACGTCACTTGTGAGCCCTTCACGCGCGAAGAGGGGGGGGGGGGGATTAATTAATGCACATAAATTGCAATGGGTATCCATTGCTGGTACGTTATCCATGCACATTATGCATGCACGTTGTTTTTGTATCCCTGTCATTTGCATGCACTAAAATAGCAATACTGTACCTGTTATTGTCTGCGTCCAGGTAATCCCCATTGACGAATGGTGACCTGTAAGGCCATGCATTTAAAACAATGTATTATTTTATGATTCGCTTCCAAGCAGCACGAAGCCTGTAGCTATCCGAACGGTAAAAAATAAAAATCCCTTACGACAGATTCTCTAATTAGTCTTGGCCAGTAGTAACTAGTTTTGCACAGAACTTCAACATCATCAAAATCAATTGAGTGTCCTTGTTGGCACACGTGTTCTGCCACCGTCGACAGTTGTGTTTGGGAGTATTTAGTATTCCGTTGGTGTTCTTTTAGTCTCATGCTGATCATTCGTCCTGTCTGCCAAACATTGCATTTGCCACAAATGCAATTAACCCGGTACATACCTTCTGTTGATAGCTTCGGAAATACATCTTTAGTACCAGATATTAGCTTCTGTATTCTTTGGTTCTTTCGGTTAAGTCACGTCTAAAGATAAAATAATGAATTAAAATAAAAGCATATTACGACGTTTCGATTGCAACACAAGCAATCATCATCAGGTAAAAAAGAAAAAGCAACAAAAATCTATCTAGAAAACTATAGACAGACATACAAGCAGACAGACATCACAAGGACACAGAGAGAGGACACATATCGGCACAAAGAGAGGGGTCGTTTCTGTGACGGTCCCTTAAATATAGAGAGGGGGGCAAGGACGGAGAGAGGGAGGGGGCAGAGAAAATTAGCATATCAATGAGTGGACTGCAAAGTGCTGCTCTCTCTCCGTCCTTGCCCCCCTCTCTATATTTAAGGGACCGTCACAGAAACGACCCCTCTCTTTGTGCCGATATGTGTCCTCTCTCTGTGTGTCCTTGTGATGTCTGTCTGCTTGTATGTCTGTCTATAGTTTTCTAGTTAGATTTTTGTTGCTTTTTCTTTTTTACCTGATGATGATTGCTTGTGTTGCAATCGAAACGTCGTAATATGCTTTTATTTTAATTTATTATTTTATCTTTAGACGTGACTTAACCGAAAGAACCAAAGAATAATTCCTGCAGTCACGAAAGCTCCATAATTAAGATTAGCTTCTGTATTTTATGTACCGTGCCAAATCTGACTCGGATGTTTTGTTTTTCCAGTTACTCATGCAATGTACAGTATTTTAATAGTTTGAGTTACTTGGGCAGTTTCAACTCTGGTGTTATTTGATTTGGTTTAGACATTCAGTGCCCTGTTGATCCGTGCATCGTTGTAACCGTGCAATTGCATCGCTGCTTTAACATGTTTAATTTCACTTCTCACACTATCACCATCTAACACTTTCTTAGCCCGATGTATGAGCGTCTTGATGAAAGAGGATTTCTGTGCGGGGTGATGGTGTAACTCTGCATTCAGATAGGCTTCAATGTGTGCTTTCTTTCGGTAAAAGCTGTGTGTTATTTTACCATTTCGGCCGCCAGAACAGAATATCCACAAATGGGAGAGTTCGGTAAACTTGCATGGTGAACTGGATGGACGGGTTTTTGTGAGTTGAGATGATTTGGAATTTCGTTAATTGTATTTTCCTTGTGACCAGGCCACCAATGTTTCATCCACACATCTAAACCAAGCAGAGGGTTTTAGTATGCTTTAAGCGATTGCATTTGCTGAAACATCTTCCATGTACAAATTCGCAATCACAGGAGACAAGGCAGAGCCCATTGATGCTTCTTTTGTTTATAGAAATCACCTTTCCACAAGAAATAGGTTAATCTTTTTTGATAGCCAGTCGTTCACGAATCCATCAATATATACAGACACAGGAACAATTTCAAACGAGACGATGGTTTTCAACTCAGCAATCATTGGAAATATATCATCAACCATTTTGGGTCATGACTTGATTTGTGTTTTCTTGTCAACCTCTACTGTCAGCAGTGTGGATGTGTGTAGCAAGGTGCAATGCCCCCCCATATCTCAAACCCCCCCTCCCTTCCCCTATCTCTCTCCCCCCTCTCTCTCCCCCATATCTCTACCCCCTCCCTCTCCCCCATTGTCTCCACGCCCATGCTGTGTACGCACAGTCCTCCTCCCAACTCCCCCATTGTCTACTCTACCCCCACTCTCTCCCCCTATCTCTACCCCCTCTCTCCCCCCCCATTGTCTGACTGGCTGCCCCGCCTATGCTGTTTACGCTGCACAAGCTCCCCCCCGCAACTCTCGTCCCCCGCTCACTCACTCTGGAAACCCTCATAAGCATGGTGGAACAGTCACAGCACGATAGCTGTATCACCTGTATCACTTGATACAGCTATCGTGCTGTGACTGTTCCACCTGAAGACGGAAGCTTGTGTTGCCTCCGAAACGTCGTGATTTTTATTTTACTTTTATTAATTAAAATTTTTACCTACGTGACTTTACCGAAAAAACCTAAGAATATGAATCCTCATTAGCAGTTGCATTTGGAGGCTGTGGCGCCCTTCACCAGCATTTCCGGCCTTTGGCCAGGAAAGTCACAAAAAAGTTGCACACGAACGACGCATTCACGCAAGCACCCGATGCTCCGTTTTGAAGTTTTAAAATGAAACATCTTTGAATTGTGTTATGTTTTGAATTAGATAATTGTATTTCTTCATTAAAAGCTTTTTTCATTTTACATCTGGAAGACTTAATCGAAAAGGACATTTCGTGTGAATTTTCTCTCGTCGTTAAGTAGATGGCCTTGCTGGGGGTTCGGTTCGATGCGGACTTTCACCTGTTTGGGATTGCGGGATCGAGATAAGGCGACATAGAGACGCCGTCTGCAGATCGATTCCAACGTGATCGAACGTCTGTCCTTGCGCCTCCGTCGTTCATGCAGGGCGCGTGTAGGTTTGCAGCGCCCCCTGCATGAAAACGACGGAAAGTGCAGCGTTCATCACAGATAAAGGTGTGCGCTTTATAAGGGTATGGATTCTAGATTTGAAGCTTTCGTGACTGCAAGGATTCATACTCTTAGGTTTTTTCGGTAAAGTCACGTAGGTAAAAATAAATAATATAATAATAAAGGAAATTTAATTATAAATCACGACTTTTCGGAGGCAACACAAGTCTCCGTCATCAGGTGGGACCGTCACAGCTAAATTGACTTTACCGAAAAAACCTAAGAGTATAGGAGTATGGGTTTGAGAAATGTGACGTCACATCAAAATGCGCAACTTGAAATAAATATAGACAACACGTTCTACTTAATTAAATAGACTTTTTAATAAATGTTTTCTCCTACGACATCAGAGTGCAGCGCCACATTAAATACGCACTACAATGACAATAGTTTAAAGCGATTTGAAGCATGTTTTATTTTTTTGGGGGGGGGCAGAGCTTTGTGACGTCATATTAGAGGGGGGGGGGTCTAACTTTTGGATTTCACAACTGAGAATTTTATTGTTTTATATTTTATTACTTTATTATTTCCCTTCTACGTGACTTTACCGAAAGAACCAAGAATATGAATCCCTGCAGTCACGAAAGCTTTAAATCGAAAAGTAATCTTCT